TACTAGATATATCAATTATACTTAAATTAGGTGTAAATTGACCTACAGTATATGGTGTTTAAATACTAGATATATCAATTATACTTAAATTAGGTGTAAATTGACCTAGAGTATATGGTGTTAAAATACTAGATATATCAATTATACTTAAATTAGGTGTTAATTGACCTACAGTATATGGTGTTTAAATACTAGATATATCAATTATACTTACATTAGGTGTAAATTGACCTACAGTATATGGTGTTAAAATACCAGATATATCAATTATACTTAAATTAGGTGTTAATTGACCTACAGTATATGCTGTTACAATACTAGATATATCAATTATACTTACATTAGGTGTTAATTGACCTACAGTATATGCTGTTACAATACTAGATATATCAATTATACTTACATTAGGTGTAAATTGACCTACAGTATATGCTGTTACAATACTAGATATATCAATTATACTTAAATTAGGTGTTAATTGAGCTACAGTATATGCTGTTACAATACTAGATATATCAATTATACTTACATTAGGTGTAAATTGACCTACAGTATATGGTGTTTAAATACTAGATATATCAATTATACTTACATTAGGTGTAAATTGACCTACAGTATATGGTGTTACAATACTAGATATATCAATTATACTTAAATTAGGTGTAAATTGACCTACAGTATATGGTGTTAAAATACTAGATATATCAATTATACTTAAATTAGGTGTTAATTGACCTACAGTATATGCTGTTACAATACTAGATATATCAATTATACTTACATTAGGTGTAAATTGACCTACAGTATATGGTGTTTAAATACTAGATATATCAATTATACTTACATTAGGTGTAAATTGACCTACAGTATATGCTGTTACAATACTAGATATATCAATTATACTTACATTAGGTGTAAATTGACCTACAGTATATGGTGTTTAAATACTAGATATATCAATTATACTTACATTAGGTGTAAATTGACCTACAGTATATGGTGTTAAAATACTAGATATATCAATTATACTTACATTAGGTGTACATTGACCTACAGTATATGGTGTTAAAATACTAGCTATATCAATTATACTTACATTAGGTGTAAATTGAGGTACAGTATATGCTGTTACAATACTAGATATATCAATTATACTTAAATTAGGTGTAAATTGAGCTATAGTATATGGTGTTAAAATACTAGATATATCAATTATACTTACATTAGGTGTAAATTGAGGTACAGTATATGATGTTAAAATACCAGCTATATTAGTTATATTTACATTAGGTGTTAATTGAGCTACAGTATATGGTGTTAAAATACCAGATATATTAGTTATACTTACATTAGATGTAAATTGAGCTACAG